CTCAGTGAGCGGTTCCACTCGGACTTTCCTGTCCTGCGTCTGCACTCTGACAGAGGTGGTGAGTTCTCCTCTGACCTCTTGGCAGCCTACTGTGCGGAGCACGGCATCCGCCAGTCGTTCACGCTTCCGGCCTCTCCACAGCAGAATGGGGTTGCTGAGCGCCGCATTGGTTTGGTCATGGAGGTCGCTCGTACCTCCTTGATCCATGCGGCTGCCCCCCACTTTCTGTGGCCGTTTGCGGTCCGATACGCTGCGCATCAGCTCAACCTCTGGCCCCGTGTCTCCGTTCCGGAGACTTCGCCGACACTGCGTTGGACGGGAGAGGTTGGCGATGCGTTGCGTTTTCGGGTCTGGGGATCCCGAGCTTTTGTTCGCGATACGTTCGCGGACAAGCTCTCCTCCCGCGCTGTTCCCTGTGTCTTCCTTGGCTTTGTCCCGGACGCGTCTGGTTGGCAGTTTTACCACGCCACCTCGCGCCGTGTCCTGCCCTCTCAGGACGTCACTTTTGACGAGTCCGTGCCCTACTACCGCCTCTTCCCCTACCGCACTGCCCCGCTCCCCCCCCCGCCTCTCTTCCTCGCGCCAGGTGCTGCTGTGGTAGACCCCCTCCCCCCTCAGGGTGCCGCTCCCTCAGGTGTGTCCCAGGTAGACCCGGTTGAGCCTGTCGAGGTAGCTGTCGACTCTCGTCCTGCCAGGGGTGCTGAGCCTGAGCGTGCGGAGCCTGGGGTTGCGGAGTCTGGGGGTGCTGAGCCTGGGGGTGCGGGGTCTGGGGGTGCGGAGCCTGCGGGTGCTGAGTCTGGGGGTGCTGAGCCTGGGGGTGCGGAGCCTGCGGGTGCTGAGTCTGGAGGTGCTGAGCCTGGGGGTGCTGAGCCTGGGAGTGCTACGTCTGAGAGTACTGAGCCTGAGCGTGCTGCACCTGGGGGAGGCCTCTCCTCGCAGCAGCTGCGTGAGTGGTACTTACAGTACTGCAGCCTCAGGAGAGGTGCTTCTGGAGCTCGGAGTGGTGCCGGAGCTGGTGCTAGTGCTTCCCCTCCTAGGCGGGAGCTCCCCTCTCCCCAGCAGCTCCGAGAGTGGTATGCTAGGCGCTGCAGTCTCCGGAGTGGCGCTCCCGGTGTCGTGGACTCTGGAGCTTCTGGAGTTACTGGAGGTGCTGCTGCTGCTGGCGGTGCGGCTGGCGCTGCTGGAGGTGCTGCTGGTGCTGCTGGAGCTACTGGAGGTACTGCTGCTGCTGGAGGTGCTGCTGGCGCTGCTGGAGGTACTACTGGTTCTGGTGCTGCTGGAGCTGCTGCAGGTGCTGCTGCTGCTGGCGGTGCGGCTGGCGCTGCTGGAGGTGCTGCTGGTGCTGCTGGCGCTGCTGGAGGTGCTACTGGTGCTGGAGCTACTGGAGCTGCTGGTGGTACTGCTGCTGCTGGCGGTGCTGCTGGCGCTGCTGGAGGTGCTGCTGGTACTGGTGCTGCTGGAGCTGCTGGAGGTGCTGCTGCTGCTGGTGGTGCTGCTGGCACTGCTGGAGGTGCTGCTGGTACTGGAGCTGCTGGGGACCCTGCTGCTGCTGGCGGTGCTGCTGGAGCTGCTGGGACTGGCCCTGCTGAGGGGGTTGGAGCTGGAGGTGCTGAGCGGCCACGGCCGTACTACGTTCCGCTCCTTCAGCAGGTTCTTGGCCTTCCGCCCTCTCCTGGTCCTACTCCTCCCCTACTGAGTCCACCGCTTGTCCAGTCGCAGTCACAGTTACAGCCAGTCTCTCCACTTCCTGGTCCTTCTCCCTACACTGCGCCGACGGGAGGTCTTACGGAGCGTCGTGAGCCTGAGTCTCGTCCTCCGTCGCCTGAGACTCGTCCAGAGTCGTCTGAGTCGCGTCCAGAGTCGCCTGTCCGCGCTGTCCGCGCTGGTCGTCGTGTTCCACGTCAGCGTCCTCCTCCTGTCCTTGGCACTCACTATATGACCCTGCGTCCCTCTACTGCTCCACAGCGTGTCCCACTGCCGTCTCCACCAGCGTCCTCTCTTCCTGCTCTTGCTGACCCGGAGTCTGACTCTCTTCGTGCTGCCAGTCCTACTGTCACGCGTCTCCTTGCCACTGCTGTCACTGACCCTTCCTTTGAGTCCTCAGCTGCGTCTGCTCTAGTCGCTGAGCTTGTTGACTTTGCTGCTGCCTGTCGTCTAGACTACGCCGCTAGCCTTGTTGCTGAGTCTGAGTCTGAGTCTGTCTGTCCTCCGTCTGTCGGGGGTGAGTGTGCTCTTGGCACGGACGTCCTTGAGGACAGACAGGAGGAGTTTGAGTGCTTTGCCGCTGCTTTGCCTCATCTCGTGTCCATGCTAGTTGCCCCTGAGGGAGACCCGGATGCACCAGACATCCCGACCCCATGCTCCTACGCAGAGGCGATGGAGGGTCCCTACTCCTCTCAGTGGCAGACAGCCATGGACGCAGAGATGGCTTCCTGGAAGTCCACAGGCACCTACGTCGACGAGGTTCCCCCACCTGGGGTGAACATCGTCAGTGGCATGTGGATTTTCAGGGTGAAGCGGCCGCCGGGTTCTCCGCCTGTCTTCAAGGCGCGTTACGTTGCACGAGGCTTCAGTCAGCGAGAGGGAGTTGACTTCTTCCAGACCTTCTCCCCGACCCCGAAGTTGACCACTCTTCGGGTTCTGCTGCACGTCGCTGCTCAGCGTGACTACGAGCTCCACTCTCTTGACTTCAGCACTGCGTTCTTACAGGGCAGCCTGCACGAGGAGATCTGGCTGCGCCGCCCACCTGGCTTCACTGGGTCGTTCCCTCCTGGTACCCAGTGGAGCCTCCGGCGGCCAGTCTACGGTCTCCGCCAGGCACCCCGTGAGTGGCACGACATACTGAGGACTACTCTTGCTGCTCTTGGGTTTGCTCCTTCTACTGCTGACCCGTCGCTGTTTCTACGCACCGACACCACTCTGCCGCCGTTCTACGTTCTTGTTTACGTAGACGACTTGGTCTTTGCTACTGCTGACACTGAGGCACTCGCCCACGTGAAGTCGGAGCTGCAGAAGAGACACACGTGCACAGACCTGGGTGAGCTGACAAGCTATCTTGGCTTGCGGATCACCCGGGACAGAGCACAGCGCACCATCACCTTGACTCAGTCACACATGGTGCAGCAGGTCCTTCAGCGCTTCCGCTTCACGTACTCCTCGCCTCAGCCCACTCCTCTGCCTACCGGTCACTCGCTCTCAGCTCTGCCTTCGGATGAGTCCGTAGAGCCGAGTGGCCCGTATCCAGAGCTTGTGGGGTGCCTCATGTACCTGATGACCTTCACTCGACCTGACCTGGCATACCCTCTTAGCATCCTAGCACGCTATGTCGCTCCCGGCCGTCACCGGAAGGAGCACATGGATGCCGCTAAGAGGGTGTTGCGCTACTTGTGCAGTACTTCGGGCATGGGGCTCGTGCTTGGAGGTCGGAGCGACGTTGTCCTCACGGGTCACTCAGACGCTTCTTGGGCTGACGACCAGGCTACGCAGCGGTCGTCTCAGGGTTACACCTTCAGCCTTGGCTCTGGTTCAGTTTCTTGGCGTTCTACTCGCTCTTCTTCTGTTCTCAGCTCCAGTTGTGAGGCTGAGATCTACGCCACAGCCATGGCTGCACAGGAGTTACGCTGGCTCACCTACCTGCTGACCGACCTGGGAGAGCGGCCTCGTTCTCCTCCAGTGCTGTACGTTGACAACAAGGCCGCCATTGCCTTGTGTGAGGAGCACAGACTGGAGCACAGGACGAAGCACATCGCTCTGCGCTACTTCCTTGCTCGAGAGCTGCAGCAGCGTGGTCAGCTTCGTCTGCGTTACGTGGCCACTCGGGCCAACACTGCTGATGTGTTCACCAAGGCGCTTCAGCCTTGTGACCATCAGCGTTTCTGTACTGTTCTAGGCCTTGTGCCTACTCTCCCTCACTTGCTCACTTCTTGACTCTGCTTGTACTGTGATCTCTATATATATATACCTGCATGTTTACTCTTGTTAGGTTGTGATCACTGTACCTCTTGTTATATTATCAAACTGCATGTGAACTGGTCTTGTGACCACTTGCTTGTGCTCGGAATTTGTGTGGTTTCCTTGAGATCCACCCTGAGCTTGCTTTGCTTTGCTTTGACTGGTCTTGTGACCATCTGGTTGTCTCCCACTTAGCCTATGGGGGTGTGTCAAACATTATACATGTTCATATTGTGTAGGCTATAGTGGGTTTAGCCTTAGGGGGTACAACATTGCTAGGGTTTCCTACTTGTATCACCCTGCTGCCTAGTTTCACACATTCTCGTTCAGTTCTACATTCTAACACCGTTGACACCGCGTTGGTCGGAAACACTGTTGCAGCAGTTACGATGTCTCCCGCACGTTCCCAATTTCCTCAGATGCACGTTTCCTTGCTCAGGTGTTTCGCTGCTGCGCTCTGATTCTCCGCCTCACAATTCTCGCGACCCTCGTTCAGGTCGAGGGTTTCTGATTCTCGTCCCACCCTCTCGAACTTCTGTGCACTGGACGCTCCCCTGTCAGGCTCTTGGTTCAGTTTGTCGCCATGCACACCTCCCGTTTCTCCCACACCCTTCTCCAGCAGGGGTCAAGTCATTTCGCCATTTCCGATTGCCAATTGTCTCGTTTAGTGCAGGAGCTTCCAGATCGATAGTTTCCTAGCCATGGCTGCTGCCACCGCTGACGATGTCCACGGTCAGCGCGATTCCCAGCAGCAGAGCGGATTGCCTCCCTTGGTCTTAGGATAGCTGCTGCTGGCGAATATCTTCATGGCACACGGCTTCTTTCTGGTCATGTGACCTAGGACGCGCTGCTTTTTCTGCCTTCCAGTGCTGACCCGATCTCCTTTGTTGTCGCGCGACTGCTGCTTTAGTCGTGACGATTTTCTGGTGTGCGTTGTGCTGCGCCATGGCGCGATGTCCTTCAGCTGTAGCTAGCGCGCATCACTAGTGCTCGCCATGTCATGGCTGGCGCTCGGTGACAGCAGCCCACGTGGCGACCTGCAGCGCCAGATGCGCGTTTCCTGCGGCTGCGGCCAGATCCGCGACTGCTGCTTCGGTCGCGCGGCTGCCGTGACCTCCTCGCTTGACAACCTGCGCGCTGCAGCTCCTTGCGCGCGACTGCTGTTCATGGCGCCCGTGGCGATCGGCAGCAGCTGCTGGCGCACGACTGCAGCAGCATTCGCGCCGCTGCATTACATCGCATGTGGCGGCTTCTGCTGGTGCGCGCCCTCCCCTTGCCATTTCGGGCGACCTTGTGCTAGTGACGAGGTGAGTAGCCCTTCTCTGTGTAACTACCACTGCTTGCACCTTGACCTCACTCATGCGTGTTTCTTGCAATTGATGTACTGCAGCACTGACCGTGCTAAGTCACTTGGTACTGCTCCCACATTCTCTTGTGATTTTCCTTGCCCCCGCCCATACCAGCTAGCGAGCGTGAGCGGCTGCAGCCGGCATCGGCACCTGGCGCTCTGGCGCGCACGTCTGCAGCTCCTGGTGGCGCACGGCTGCTGCTCCTGGCGGCCCACTGCTGCTACTTCTGGCGGCCCACTACTGCTACTCCTGGCGGCGCACGGCTTTCTCCTTCCTACCGAGGTGAGAATGCTTCGTCGTGTTACCCATGTTACCCGTTGTACCCTGTGATGTTACCCTGTGCTGCCCCCCTTGACCCTGTGTTGCTCCATGTTGCCCTGTGCCAACTCCCCCTATACCAGGTGGCGGACGGAAGCAGCTACAACTGGTACACAAGCACCTGGCGGCTGCTCCTGCACCTGGCGGCTGCTCCTGCACCTGGCGGCTGCTTCTGCAAACGTCTGCCAGCACCACCTGACTGGCGGCAGCAGCATCACCTGGTCGCTTGCAGCTGCTCCCCCTGACGCCCTGCAGCACCTGAAGCCCTGCAGCAGTTCTCCCTGATGCCCTGGCCGCTTGCACTGGTGCAGCTCCAGCACTGGGTGGCAGCGGTATCAGCAGCACCTGTGTCACCTTGGTGAGCAGTCCCAGTAGCGTCTGACTCCAACTGTCTTCCCTTGTATTTAGTCAGCTTCTTCTTGTGATTTCCTCTGTCTGCTTGCCTCATGCTGACTCATGCTGACTTGTTTCTGCCCCCCCCTTGAAACCAGCAGGCATATGAAGTCTTCAGGAACGGCCGTTGCAGTTGGCGAGTGGTTGTGACCGACCAGCAGCGACTGTCCAACAGAATTTGATGGCTGCTCTTGTCACTGATTGCAGTAGGTCTTCTCTTGATGCATATGTGCTGACTCGTGTAATGGCGAAAATGAAAGATGGTTGTGCGATCAGATCCCGAATGGTTGCACCCCAAAATACTCCACACCCCAAAATACTCCCCACCCCACTCCCCCTCTCACTCGTGTGTTGGTAGTCATGCACATGCGTGAGCACGCACACAGCACCAAACACATGAGTGAGATGTGTGGAGTTACGTGATGCCGTGTTGTCCAGCACCCCTTGAGAGGCCCGGACATGAGAGTGCAGCTCCAGCGGCTTCAATGTGAGGACTGGGTGCAGACGGGGCTCCATGTTGAAGTGGTTGGAGACCGCACAAGAGGCTGCAGGTGAGATGTTGCCTTGCTGTGAGGGGCTTGGTGAGATAATTCGCAGCCTGCTGAGCTGTCGGGCAGTACTCCGGCCGCACAACTCCATCACGAACGACCTTCCGCGTCCAATGGTAACGGACGTCCATGTGCTTGATGCGTTGACTCATCTGCTCCCCGGTTGCAAGTGCAATTGCGCTTTGGTTATCCACAAAGATGACAGTAGGTTCTTGCTGTCGAAAACCGAGGTCTTCACACAAGCGGCGAAGGTATGTAGCTTCCCTTGCCCCTTCGAACAGTGCAATGTATTCTGCTTCAGCTGTTGATGTTGCAATGACAGTTTGCCGTTTAGTCCTCCAACTGACGGCAGCTCCTCCCAAGGTAAACACGTAGCCTCCAACGGAGTGACGCCCTGCTTCGTTCGCATAATCCGAATCTGTGTATCCGCGGAGCACCAAGTCCTCTCCTCCATAGACCAGCCCTATGTCCGCAGTGTTCTGTAAGTAGTTGAACACCCTGTGGATTTCAAGCACTGTTGTTGCTGTTGGTTTGCTTGCTTGGCTGGCCAGCACATGCGCTGCATAGGTGATGTCCGGCCTCCCTGCTGTTGAAATGTACAGCAATGTCCCAACTTGTTTCAGCACTAATTGATCATCAATCTCGTCCGGTGGTTCTCCTTGTGGTCCAGGTTCCTTGGTGATCGGTGTCCGAACTCCGGAACGACTGCTCTCCATCCCGAAGGTCGCCAAAGCCTGTGAGATGTACTTTGTGAGTCCGAGCGAGATCGAGCCGTTGTCAGTAGCGACGTTGAGCCCCAAAAACTGCGTCATGGTCTTGCTGATGGTCAAGGTAAAATGCTGCTTCAAGTGTTGAATCACAGCTTCAATCCCTTTGTCATCATGGGACTGGATGAGGATGTCGTCAACGTAAGTAAGCAGCCATACCGTGTCTTTGCCTTCTCTCTTCCATAGGAATAGCGATGGGTCAGATTCGAACTGCACCATGTCTAGCTCCAACAGGACACCCCGTAAGTGCTGATGCCACAAGCGTGGTGCTTGTTTCAGTCCGTATACACTGCGCTTGAGTTTCCAGACCTTGTCTCCTTCACGCCGAGGTTTAGGAGGTCGCACGTACACGTCTCTGTCGATTGGTGCGTAAAAGAACGCGTTGGAAATGTCAAGTTGCACCACCTTCCGTTTCGTGGCCGATGCACCAGCAACAAACATGCGCGAGGTAGGTCCTTGGCTGACTGGGGCGTATGTTTCGTCGTATGTTCCCCAAGTCTGTCCGCATCCCTTCACCACCCAGCGTGCCTTGAATCGATTCGGCTCCCCGTGCTCGTCTCGTTTCACCCTCAACACGACTCCTTCTGTCAATACTGGCACTCCTTTTGGTACGTCAGCTCTGTCCACGACTTCATATGCTTCCAGCTCGTCGAATTTTGCCAACTCTGCATCCACAGCAGCTTGCCAAAGAGGTGCATACTGATCTGTTGTCATCTCTTTGAGCGTTTTGGGCTCCTTGTATGTCAAGTCCACCATGGGGACGCCGGTTGCTGCACATCCTAGCACGTGTTGCTGCAAGTTGGGATGTTTGTTGAACGCTTGTGTTGCCTGTCGTTTCCCAAACAGCACGTCCAGTCCTGTCATGCTATCCGTCCCTTGTCCTTCTCCTCCGAGCACAGTCACAGTTGGGTTGAAATGAACCCACCGTGGAGTCGCGTCATGAACTGCCGGCTCGATCCCATCAGGTGGGTAGGCAAAGTCATAGATATGACTTGCCTCATTCTCCATTTCGTTGCTTTCAGCACCTTCAGGAAAAGAGACGCCAGCTGGAGGTAAGTCCCTTGCTGCACCCCCTTCTCCCTTATTGGCTGCGTCGTCAATGGGTGCATCCTCTTGATTTGCGACAGCTTCCTGTCCTCGTGTGGTTGATGTGTCCGTGGACGACGTAGGCGATGGCGAGGATGCGGGAAATGAGTCCAACTCGGACCCAAAGCCTTCTCCCCCGGAAGTCCAGTCGTCGATGTGAGGTGAGACTTCTTCCATGTAGCGGTGGCGTTCGAGTACCGATTCAGCGTCCGGAATCATGAGGTCATCAAAGAAGCGAGCTGAGCGTGTGTCCGTGTCAACATCGCTTGCCAAGTCCCACACGATCCATGCCTTCCGAGCGTTGGAGAGTCCAAGGAACATCCCAACCCTTCCTCTTTGCTCGAACTTCCCAAAGCTACCTTGGGGAGGGAGGTAGTAGCAAAGGCAGCCAAAGGTCCTTGCCATTGAAACATCTGCCGCCTTTCCTGTCATCATGAAGTACGGTGAGTGTGCTGATGGGTTGCTGCTGCAGCTGATGCGGTTGTGTAACCAGGCTGCATACTCCAGTGCATAAGGCCAGAACTTAGAAGAAAGGCTGTTCCCGGTAGTCATTGCACGCACTCGGTCCATGAGTGTGCGGTTAACCCGTTCGGCGACTCCATTCTGCTGCGGCGTGTGTGGTAAGGACGTTTGGTGATTGATACCGTGAGAACTCATGTAATCCGTGAATGCGTTTGATGTATACTCCCCCCCGTTGTCCGTGCGCAAGGCAGCCAGCGGCGTCTTGGGCAGCTTGGTCTTCATCTCACGGTGCCAAGCCGAGAAAACTGCAGCCATGTCGGACCGGCGAGCCAACGGCGCCACCCACAGGTAGTTGGTGTAGTCGTCCTTGAGCGTCAGCACATAGCGAAGTGAAGGGTGAGCATCACCCAGGTCCATGATGTCGCTATGCACGAGCTCTAAAGGTCGAGTTTGTCAGAATATGTTGTTTGTGTAGCCTGCAGTGGGGTACTCTATAGTGAGTACAGCCCCTTAGGGTTTGCCATTTGTATCCTGCTGCTTGCTAGTTCAATCATTCCTTCTCAATTCTGTTCCTACACACAATCCTAGCTCGTACTTGGCTCCTCGTTACTAGTCCTACTGTGGCCTAGGCTACTAAGCCTAGGCCGTACTCCTACTACTTCTGACATGGTATCAGAGGGCGGCATGTCTGCCGCCTTCCTGTGTATGGGCCCACCACCCGCTTCCGCTGCCGTACTGTCCGCCGCGCGCCCCGTGGTGCGCGGCGGCGAAACCCTAATTTCTGCCCGCCGCGCGCTCGGGGCGCCTGGCGGTTTTCCCTTCCGTGGCGCCCGTCGTGGTGCCCTTGGGGGGGCCTCCGCGGTCCCCTCCCGTCGAAGCGCCCGTCGAGGCGCTCTCGGGGACCCGCGCGGCCTCCCCCCCTGTCGCCCGTCGAGGCGACCTCGGGGACCCGCGCGGCCTCCCCTCCCGTCGCCCGTCGAGGCGACCTTGGGGGCCCGCGCGGCCTCCCCACCAGTCGCCCGTCGTGGCGACCACGGGGGCCGCGCGCGGTCCCCTCCCGTCGCCCGTCGAGGCGACTTCGGGGGCCGTGCGCGGCGCCCTCCCCGTCGCCCGTCGTGGCGACTTCGGGGGCCGTGCGCGGCCCTCCCCGTCGCCCGTCGAGGCGACTTCGGGGGGGGCGCGCGGCGCCCTCCCCGTCGCCCGTCGAGGTGGCTCTGGGGGCCCGTCGCGGCGCCCTCCCTGGTGCCCGTCGCGGCGCCCCGGGGGGGGCCGCGCGGCTCCCTTCTCGTCGCCCCTCGGGGCGCCCTGGGGGCCGTGCGTTTTCCCCCCCCCGCGGCCGCCCCTGGAGCCGCCCGCCACTGCAGCAGCAGCCCCTGGAGCCGCCCGCACCTGCAGCAGCCGCCCCTGGAGCCGCCCGCCAGTGCAGCAGCCGCCCCTAGAGCAGCCCGCACCTGCAGCAGCCGCTCCTGGAGCAGCCCACACTTGCAGCAGCCGCCCCTGGAGCAGCCCGCACCTGCAGCAGCCGCCCCTGGAGCAGCCCGCACCTGCAGCTGCCGCCCCTGCAGAAGCCCGTCCCCCCCCCCCCCCCCCCCGTGCTGCCCATTGCTCCCATTCCACCGTGCGTTCCGCGGTGGTTGGGGTGTGGGGTGGCGAGCATGGGGGTGAGAGGTGTGGGTTCTCCCCTCCTCCTTTTTCGTCTCCCACTGCTGCAGCTGCCGCTGAGGGGGGTGGAGGTGTGGGAGTCGTGGGGAGTGGCACTAGGGGGGTGATGTGGGAATGGAGCTAGGGGTGAAACAGGAGGTGTGTGAGAGGGGTGTGGGACTGTTGGGGGAGGTTGAGTGGAGGCTGCTGTCTTGTCGTCCGCAGCACCTGTAGTCCGGGGCGCACTGTCCTGGTAGCTCAGAGAGCCTACTGCATCTGTTGCCCGTGGGTCCGTTGCTCCTGCCGCTCGTCGCAGCCGCAGAGCCTGTTACTCCTGTATTCCGGGACGCACTGTCTCGGTAGCCACTGAGAGCCTGCTGCACCAGTCGCCCGTGGGTCCGTTGCTTCTGCCGCTCGTCGTAGCCGCAGAGCCAGTTACTCCAGTATTCCGGGGCGCTCTGTCTCGGTAGCCACTGTG